TCTTATCACAAAATTGACTAATACTCAATAGATTATGCTTTAATCCATTCACATATAAAACATTCTTAATTTTTATGGAAGAGGTATTACCAATAGTACCAATACCTTCAATGTGACCTTTTGAATCATCACCAAAAGTCAATTCTCCTCCATTTTTGGCTTTAAGCTCAATGAACTGGTTTTTGTCTCCGGTCATGTGTCTTGAGCATCCACTATCAAGGTACCAAGAATTTAGATTTGTATCCCGTGCCTTGTAGCAATGCTCATTTTCCTACAAACCTAGATTAATTTCTAATTTTTGGTACCCAAATCCTAGTCCCCTTAGGTATCCATTTGTGTAGGATATTCTTATCTTTAGTAGTAATGAGCTCTTTAGGAACCCATATACTTCTAACGATTTTTCCATTAGAGGTTCTTTGGGGACCTCTATGATTGTAGTTTTTAAAACTTTTTCTAACAAAGTTGGATTTTGAATTTTCTCCATTTTCAAAACGTTTTGTTCCAACTTTATCAAAAGAAGTTTTAAGATCATCAATTTTCTTTTGATGATCATCATTGACCTTTGAAAGTAAATTTTGCAAATCCAAAATTTTCTTTTCAAACTCTTCTAGTTTAATTTGCAAATCTTTGATTTTATTTTCAAGATCGTTGTTGGTTTTGGATATGAGTTTATTTTCATTTTTCAATTTTGAAACATCATTTTTATATTTTAAAAACAATTTCTTATAACCCGAAGCCAACCCATTATATTCCTCTAATAACTCATCATAGGATAAATCATCAAAATCAGATGAGTTAGAGGTTACCTTAGAATTCCCCGAATGCCATCAAGCACAAGTTTGCTATTTCTTGTTCCTCTTCATCGAAACCTTCTTCATCGCTCCATGTAGCCACATGAGCCTTGTGCTTATTCTTTGATTGATCATTTCCCTTCAATTGTGGGAAATCATATTTGACATGCCCTGGCTTTTTGCATTCATAGCAAATGATCGTGTCCTTCTCTTTTGGTTCATTTTTGAGACCTTCATTTCGTTTGAATTTTCTTCCTCGGTAAGGTCTCATCATTTTTCTGAACCGTTTGACAAACAATGACATTTCCTCTTCATCGTCATCTTCATCCGAATCACTCTCATCTTTTGTAGATTTGAGAGCAACTCCAATGTTTTTCTTCTTCTCCTTCTCCTTTGGTGTCTTTTCAATCTTATCAAGGTTCACCTCATCTTCAAACATCATTTCATGAGTGAGAAGTGAACCGATTAACTCTTCAAGAGTTAAGGACGTTAGATCCTTAGACTCGATGATTGTCGTCTTCTTTGATTGCCACAATTTGGGAGGGAGTAGACTAACTTCCTCACAAGCTTTTCATTTGAAATGATCTCTCCATATGATTTGAGACCATTGACAATCGTTGAGAATCTATCCGTCATAGCTTTGATGTCTTCATTTGGTTTCATCCTTAAATTTTCATAGCTATGCGTTAGAATACTAATTTTAGATTTCTTTACCTCATCGGTACCTTCATAAGTGACTTGAAGTTTTTCCATATTTCTTTGGCAGTTGTACAAGATGAAACTCTTCCATATTCATCTGGTTCAAGAGCACAAAATATGATATGGATGGCTTTGGAGTTGAGCTGGAACATTTTTGTCTCTCCTTCACTCCATAATCTTGGATGAGTGAGAGGCTTGAAGTATCCTTCTTCTACGACATTCCATGCTCCCATGTCACTTGCTTGAATGAAGTACATCATCCTATTTTTCCAATAGGCATAATTAGCCCCATTGAAGAAAGGAGGCTTGTTGACGGGCATCGAATCGAGACCGGAGTCGAAGTTTGAAGTAGAGGCCATTGATGACTTTGATTATCGATATAACTCTTCCCGAATCGACTCAAGAGGCGATTAAACCTTCAAATGAGTTAGGCTTTGATACCAATTGTTGAGTTAATCGATTGACGAATATGGCCAAGAGGGGGTGAATTGGCAATTAAAATTTTGGTGGAAGCTTTTGCAGAAAATTGAAAGAAATTTGCACAGCAATTTAGAGTGGTTCAACTTTCTCAACCAAAGTCTACGTCCACTACCTTAGCTATCACACTAAGGATTTTCCATAAATTCACTAATTTGTCTTTCTTTTGAGGACAAAGAGTAACCTTACAAACCCTCAAGAATTATACCCCAAATTCTTGAGAACACTCTCTCCCAAAGAGAACAATACAAATTTGCAAACTTACAAGGAAATCCTCACAAGGTAGATTGTTTGAACAATTCTAGAACAAAGAAAAGAACAATAAAAAATGAATACAATTGAGCACAATAAGTGTTCTTGAAAGCAAAATGAATATTGAATGAAAAATAGACTTGAAATGCTCAAACTTGAGGTTTGATACTTTCTCTTTGATTCTCTCTTAATTCTAGTTGCTTGATATTTCTTGTTGTTGATTAATGGCTTCTAAGCTTGCTTAAATACACCTTGAATCACTTCTGAACATTGGGGATGATTAGTGGAGTCAATATAGCCGTTTAAGTGTGAAAACAATTAATTAAAACAATTGGGAGCGTCAGTGCATCGATGCATACCCATGGTGCATCGGTGCATCAGTGTAAAATTCAAATATTTTGACCGTTGGACCCTTAGTGCATCGGTACACTAAGAGTGCATCGATGCATCAAGTGCATTCGATGTTTCAAAATAGCAAGAGTGCATTGATGCATGGCTGGTGTATGAAAACATCAAATGCATTCGATGTTTTCATAAAATCCTCAGTGCATCGGTGCATGGTATGTGCATCGATGCATGAAATGCATTTGATGTTCAATTTAATTCATGGTGCATCGATGCATGGATTAATGCATCGGTGCATCACTCTGAAAAATTGATTTTAGGCTTGATTTTGGTTCAAAATACTTTGTGAAAATTGTTTCAAAAACATATTAAGTATAAAACACAATTTTACACATTTAGTAAGGTTTGAAATTGATCTTAAAAGACTTGGAGTAATAATTTGATATTCGATTAATTGAATCGAATATATTTGTTTGATATACTTGTAGAAGGTGATGTTATTTCCTTCCACCCTTAGTCCTCCACTCATGGATCTTATGAAATTGCAACCAATCAACATATCAATCTCTGGTATGGACATTTCATAAACATGGATCAGTGGGATCCTGAAGTACTCTCCTCCTAGGAACATTTTCCATCTTTCATTCTTTTTTAGGAAAGTGTTGTAGAATTAACACCATGGAAGGTTGATGTTGTGGCAGCATCCCTATATGCTTGGACAATGACCTTCTTTATATTGACTGAACAACTTGAACATCGGTGTCAAGGATAACATTAACTTTGAACTTTAATGGGATCCCTTTTCCATGGGGTATTTCAAACATTACCACCAAATGGTAAAGTTTGGAGTTGAAATTCCTTCTTCCCAATGGTTGTTCCATTTCTTGTGCTTTGAATGCTGTTTCATCTGTCATAACAGCAGCTGAGTCACTTGTTTCATGAACCTCTTCCCAATAGTCAGTGCCTTTTTGTCTTCTGTTATCCCCCTCCCTTAAAGCCTCTGCATCTTCTGAGAGCTCTATGCGGAGGATTTTGTCCTTCAGCTCCTTATTTTCCATTTGCAATCGCTCATTTTCTTTTATCAAGAACACATTGTACTTCTGTAGTTCATATATGAGTGAATCTTTCGAGTGATACTGTTTGTGTTGTTGTTCATCCAAGATTTTGATCCCCAATTTTATCCCTGCACATGGTGCGCAAACAGTAGCTTTGCATTTGGGGCAATGAATTCTCCTTCCACCTGGGGGCCTTATTAGACACATGGCACATGTTTTTTGTTGTGGCTCTTTCTTAGCATTCTCATCCCACTCATGTTGAAATCTTTGTTGTTCATCATTCAAAGGGTAATACTGGAACCATGTTTTTGAGGGTGTTGGTTGTCCATAGATCAAGACTCCAATAACTCCCATTAGGTTTCCCATGGAGAGTCTTCTCCCTCAGAGACACTGAATATACAGTCGCTTTCTATCTCAGATTGTTCCACAGAGACTACATCCCATCCTTCTGGTATCTCCGTATGATCAATCATGGCCACCCTTTCGATATTGTCGTTCTTCATCGGCCATTCTTTAGCGAAATGTCCTTCCATGCCACAAAAGAAGCATTTGCATTTTACTGTGCCTCTTCTTTTTTCTTTGTCTTTGATGAGTTTGATGTGGGTCTTATGAGGCTTTCCTTTATAGGTTTTAGCCTTTCTAAGCCCATACTGCTTTGTTCTGTAAAACCCAGGGATTGGGAATTCTCGACAAAATTCAAGGTATTTCAACAATATTTCAAGCTTCTTTGTAATGCTGCTTTCTTGCATATTTCCTCCAGGTATTTGTATGTGAAATGTATCCGAGCTGTAACTCCAACAAGAAGCCCAGGGTACTTTTGCTCAAAGTCCTTTTTATTAAGAATCTCCTTGGAGAAGATGTTAAGAAAATGTAGATCTCCTGGAGGCAAGAGTTTGAAACAGGGTATAATACTCTGTTAAATATCGCTGAAGATGCAAGAAATATTACTGGGGCGATAAGAAAAATGATTTTAAAGATCCAAGCACAAGATCAACTGAGGAACAAAACAGGGCATACAATGACCTGGAAAGGTTAACCTGTGATAAAATGAAGGACATCATTCCTTTCATGAATGACTATGGATCACTCGCAGCAAAGACATTGATATTTTGCAAAAAGAAACAAACTCAGATAACATAAAACCATGAAAAATATTCAGCATAAAAACATAAAAGCAAGCTCCTGATGAACAGCCAGCAAATACGGATAACATAGCCTGATAGCCACACTAAGCCACTAGACACAAATTTGGATACCGTGTCAAACATAATACACAAAATAAAAGCTAGGATTATGATTTCATGATAGCAGCACTCAATCTCAGGTTATTTAAGCATCCATGCTACACATTTATGTTGGAATCTAGTGTGAATTTCGAATAAAGGGTCTAGGTTATATCCCATACCTATATATCTAGATAGGTGTTGGAGATGAGCGTTGTACACGATATTCCACAAGAAAAAAATTAAGATTCAAAACAACATAGGGACGTGCCTTGTAAATAGTGTCATACCTCTTTTAGTTTGTGCTTTTGACGTTTATGTCGATGACCCTTGCTCCGCTCTTTTCCCTTTGACTAAAAAGGAAAAAGGATAATAAGGTGAGCTGTATGTGTGACTGCATTGAAATGAGAAGATAAAATTGGAGCACCGATTCTTAACCTTCTTTTGCCTGTCACTTTTCTTGTGCCTCTTCGAATGTCTAGACTCATGCTCACTGTCAGATGAACTGATACTCCTGCAACAAATAAACAACAGAATGTTAGGAAACTCATTAACCAAGTATTCATGTTAAGGTTACAAGTCAGTAAAATCCTAAATAATCAAATTGTTGCATGTAATTTCTCCACATTCCATGTACCGCATAAAGGCATTAGAACAATAACTATAAAATGAAAAAAGTATTGAAGGCAACTTGTTCTTGCTCTTAACTCAGTCACCAACTACGCCTAGTCATAAAATCAAGAACTCGTATCATGCATTTAAGATGCACACGAAACAATTTTGCATTTCCTTATGTTTAATTGTTAGTGCACTACATACATATAATTTCATTTGTATATAATGTAAGATCATACAACTCAATCCATTGTACTATAAACAAAATTTACCAAAATGCATATGCAAAACGAGCGTTAGATATCATCATAAGCGACAATTTAGATTCATTTTGTTAAATAAATTGTAAATTTCTTGACTATAAATTATCACAATTCTAATCTTACTTTAACCAGAACAAGATAAAAGTTAGAAACGATATTAAACTATTCATCATAAACGTATCATAAAAAACTGAAAAATCCATGATAACGTTCACAGAATAATACTTGCAACTAAAATTCTAGATGAAATATTTAATGAAATCTTAATTAATTCGTCTAACAGCTAATCTTAAAACATAAATTAACTAACAAAAGAAGCAATTTCTTTTCACCTGGAGGAATCAGAGTCAGACGAAGAGTAAGAATCCGAAGAATGACGACGATGTTTCCTACGACTCCGTTTACCTATCGAATCACTCTTCTTCCGGATTCTGAGAGAATCTCTCTCTCTTTTGTGACGGTTGCTGCGATGACGGCCTTTTTTGGCGCGTGAGGAAGGCGAATCGGACGAGGAATCCGTTGAAAAGTAAGAAACAGCCGATGACGACGATGCTGCCATAGGCGAACCAAAAAAGCTTCAGAGCCTCTGAATCATTCAACATTTGAATCATTCAACACTTAATCATTCTGAAGTAAACAAATATCCCCTTACTCTACTTGTGATTATATCTAAATTTATTTAGGGTAAAGTAAGTAACATTGAGTCGATTGTTATAAAATGATTCTCTTATTATAAGATATTATTTTGTTTAGTTTTTTAATTATTTAAAATTATAAAATAGTCATTTTATTATTTTAGATTTCAATTTCGTTATTTTCTATTAAAAAATTAACTGTTATCTGAGTTGGATATCAATTTGTTTATCAGAATATGATAAAAATTTGATCTCTGAATTGTTTGAGTTGTATTTTATGGATCGAGTCTCTATTTACATTATGTCATCGAGTCAGTACTTGAAATATTATGTCATTTCAGACGTCTATCAAATTTTAATTAAAAATTATTAGTTTGGAACATATAAATAGATGAGTGACCATTTTATAACTTTTAATAATTTGAGAACTCAACAAAGTACCACGTTATAGTTGAGAAATTATTTTATAACTTTTAGTAATTTGGGGACACAGAAAAATACTACTCTATAATTGAGAGATTATTTTGTAATTTTTAATAGTCAGGAGATTTAATGAAACAATGTCCTATAATCGAGGATCATTTATGTACTTTATCCATTTATCATAAGTCACCTAATCATACTTAAATTTCTCTTTTATCACATAGCTATAAAATATTTATTTTTTTGTCAATTAATCATTTTGGAAGGAACTGTTAAAATTAATGGATGTAGTTAGTCAATTTATGGATTCAGTCACAAATAATTGGGTTTTACCTAGGAAGTTTCAAATGAAGTATATTTGACAGAAAATAAGGAGGAAGCAGGTGAATTGGATGAAGCTCATTTAGTATTCACTCCATATTTTATGTCACATGTCATCATTAATTGAACACATGTGAAAATATCACATCAGTAATATGAACTGATTATTAGTTGACTAACAATTTTCATCCAACATAGTCTATTTTGACCAAAAACGGAAACATTAGAGATAAAATACTCAAAAGAAAGAAAGAAAGTAAAGTGACATTTGTACAAACATTAGGGTATCATTAAGTCAAAGTGAAACTGATGTAATATGTGAGATTAATGAAGATGCTCGTTTGAGACTCATTGGAACCATAATAAAACATGATTGAATGAATGCTAAACTTTTAGATCGGAGTATAGTATAATTTGTTTTGTTTGTATAGTTGTGAAAGTAGGATTGTATTGTATCAGCTATTACTTTGGGTAATAAAATCATCAACTATTGACAAAAAAATATTAATCAATTTTTTCACCAACAGGTAACTTCAGAAGGAAGGCATATCAGTTTAACATTGATGGTGCAATTGTGGATCAAAATGTCTGTGTATTGATTAGGATCGGTTCTTCCTTGAGCTGTGATGGTGTTGAATTGGTCCAGCATCGGCAGCCGAGGATATACGTTACAGTTCTGGAGGACCTCGGCTGCATTGCCGAATATGAAATCTATCGTGTCATAAATGTCACATTCTTTGTACAATTGCCCGAGGGAGTGGACGTATAAGGTGTCTTGGTATCCTTCGAAGCTGCATCGGTAAAATGTGGACATGTCGGCTCCGTTACGGACAGCAATGGCTTGGTGTTTGGTAGGTCTGTCCGTGTTATGGACTTGATGTCGACCGTGACGAATCCCTTCCCGACAACAGCTGCGGGAGAGTCGTTGTTGAGTTCATTAAAAATGTAAAAGATCATGTAAATATTGGGACATGATTCAAATGCTACATAAATTATAGTACATTACCAAATGTTGCGGAGTTGAATATGGTTGATCTATCCACAAAGTTGCGGTTTCCAATGATTATCGTCTTGTTAATACCAGCGCCGATCATCATAAGTTCTGCTTTTTAGGTATGGAGACGTACTCTTCGTAACCACCGGCAGCTACGTAATTAAAAAATTATCGGTTGCTGTCGCCCATATTATTCAGTGCAGCTGCCACTGCTTCGTTGATGGAGGTGAAATTGCCACTTCCATCAAGGTTTACAACCACTACTTGACTCACCGAAACACCTTCCCCTTAGCCCTTACCCGTCTACTCGAACATCCTTCTGCTGACTTGCAGATTCGTAAATGGCTCTATCATGGCCCGACATTATTAAAGGCAGAGGAGAATCTCTGCCGTGTACCTAATTGGAAAACACATGGTTTCTTCCTGATGGAGAGCTGATGAATCCATGAATCCAATCGTGCCTGAAAAGTGCAAGAGAGAAACTGAGGACATTTGTTCCATTTGAGATAGACGGAAACAGACCGTCTTTGACGCTCGAAGCTGACAGCATAGCTTCAAGCCCTTCGACACAAGTTTCCACATTAGTTAAAACAGCGCTAACTAAGCAAGCAATGCAAATAATTGGCCAGGGATGTGTAGGGACTATCGGATTTGATTCATTCTAATGTGTACGACAAGAAATCCACGTTAAGCTCGACTAGAAACTGGCAATCCTGGAGGGCTCGAATCGTGCTGAGGTACAAAGTCTAGGGTAGTCTGAGGAAATACTTGACGGAACCGAGGAAACTGTGAGCGCTCAACAACGATTGGTGCATCGAAACCCTGCCGAAGTCCAAAATGGTGGCGAACTTGTTGGAGGGTAAAACGGATTTGCAGAAATCAGCAAGTGGGGTGAGCTTGCAAACGGATTCGGAATAAAAAACCAAGGGGGGGGATCGATATAGGTAGCGAAAGATGGATAGAAAAGGAACAAAAGAATATCTATGGTGCAAAGAGCTGAAGCCTTGAGAGCCATTGTTGTGAAGCTTATTGTTTTACACATTTCCTTTTTTGGTATATGGACTATGGTATACATGCTGCACATCTTGGGGTCAACACCAACGCTGCTGGAGGAAGGCCTGTTAACATCATCTAAACCACTGCTCCAAGAATATATATATTAGATTATTCGGTTCGTGTTTGGTCAAGAACCTTGTTAATGTGTTTAGCATGTTGGCTCTGATTTAATCTTTTTGATAAAATATTATGACTAAAGATGTTTATAAGTGAGGTCTGGTTAATCGTGTTCGATCTGAATTTATTGTATTCCCAAAGTTGGCCTTGAGGCCGGTTATGGTTGCAAGGCCGGTTGTAGGCAACCATAACCGGCCATCAACGATCCTCCCGAGGGTGAAATTTTTTGCAGAGCTAGAATCTCAGATAATTTGGAAACTTCGGCCATTTCAACTTTCAAGGCAAGGCAAAGCCCCCAAACCGCCTGTCGATGTTCTATGCTGGAGGAAGAACTATGGAGTGTGTTGGATGGGTTAGCGTCTGCATGGCACGAAGGCTCTCGATGTATCATCTTAGAATAAGACAACACGGCAGTTGTACACCAAGAAGAACGATGATTACCATGTTACAGCAGTTGGACAAGCGGTAATCAGAATGTTGCGATGAGATTGGCAGGTTCAAGTCGGACATGTTTACCTACAAGCCACTTGAGCCATCCTCTACCAGCCCATACAAGTGTTCAAAAAAATCTAGTTCATGCTTTAAAAGATTGGTTATAATGCGTATCTGCAATTTTCACCATTTGAGGCATTCAGAGATGAAAGATAACATACTTAAAATGATAGTTAACATAACAATTATTTCGTTGTCGATACAAATCCAAGCTGAAGATGAACTTAGGCCTGTTATCCCCAGGCAGGATACGAACTTCAAAAGTCACTTAAATATAGAATAAAACTACAGAAGAGGCTTAAGGAGTTTATTTATTATTCTCCTGATGAGCTTTCAAGATGTAGTTATCTAATCCCATCTTATTATGCAACCTCTGGCATGCAGGGTTTCAATGATATCCAATGAAAGCATGAATCTTAGAGGGGCCAACAGCTTGATCTTTTTTACCCGTACACAGCAGGCTCTAAGTGCAAGTTCGAACCCTTCAACTGTGACATTGCGGAGGTGCACAAGCTTCGCCTCCTGCAGCCGGGTCAAGTTCCCCATCACCATGCACAACGCCATATCAGAAATGGCACAGTAGCTCAAATTTATCTGCCAACATAACAGAGTTTAGCATATTTGAGACTTTCATGAACAGATTCCACCAATTTTGACATAAAATTTCATAAAAGGTTTCCATCATAATATTACACAAAACAATAGAACTGGAACAGGGAAAATCGACGATTTAGAGAGCATTGCCTTAAGTTAACCAACAAGAAAGTAAAGGAACTAAGATACTGAATGAGTATGCAAACACTTGAAGCTCCTTACTATAGGATCCAAAAGATGCATTGAAGATGAATCAAGAAAACATCACAATGTGGAAAGCCTTTAGACCCTAGAAGTAAACTTTCTGCAATATCGACAATATGGATCTTATTTACCAAAAGTAAGGTTTTATACATGTTTTCCACACAGATATCTGTAGCGAGTTCAATAGGACAATAAATTCCTACATACAGTTGAAAGCACTCATTGCCCGCATTTCCAGATCAGAAAGTTCCTCTAGACAACCGAGATAACCTAGCCCTCTGTCGGAAACTTCATTGCAGTATGACAAGTTAAGTTTCCTCAACTTCTTGCAACCACTGGATATAGAATCTAAGCCATCATCACCAATACCGGTACACCTGAAAGTCCAAATGAACAAATATTTTACTTTCTATTAGCATGTTAAGAAAATAAAACTTTACTCTCAAGTCGATTTTAAGCTTATTTTACCGGTATAGATCTAGTTCATGAATCTTTTTACAATTAAAACCGATATAGGAGAGTCCTTTATCCGATATGTTTGTGCAAAGCCCCAGTTTCAAGCATGATAGTTCAGAACATCTAGATAAGTATTCCAATCCTGCAGATAAGAATATAACACACTAATTAATTGGAAACCAGAACGTAACCAATAAGTTGCATAATGGGAAACAAAATTAAAGAAGAGATTGGTTCGAGATTGTACCTTTGTCATTTACACCACAACAATCCGTTAGAT